GAGAGAGAGAGAGAGAGAGAGAGATAAAAGGTTTTTAATGAGAAAATAAGTTTTAGTAAAAAGATAGCAAATGAATAAATTCATTGCATTTATCAATAAGAAAATGTAAACATATCTATAATTCTCTGTCGTTTTTCCTTTTTTATTTGTCCATTGAATCTGTCTTTCAATGTCTAGACTCATGAATATTATGCATATTACAAATGTATGTGTAACTAGAAATGTGTTAACCCGGGGATCTGAATGTGTGGCATTGTTTAAAGTTATAAATAATGTAATGTTATGACAATTTTTTGACAAAACTAACATGGTTTATTAAGTTTGTATTTGTATGTTAGTGATGTAGATGCATTCCTGACATGTTCTGTGATGTGTATGGTTAAAAAAGTGGGCCTTACCTACAATACAAACACACACCCCTTGAGCACAGGCATCCCATCCTTGGCCACTCTGCCGACCTGTTGTCAAAATAATTAATTAATGATTATAAGTACTAGTATTTACTGTATATGCTATTTACAGGTTCATTGGATATGCAATTGATTATCATTTGGATAAATGTATGGAAATAACTGAGAAATTATTAAATTTTTTCTTTTTTCAAATTGTGTTAAACATATCATAAGATTTCAAAGTTATTTAAAAGTTATTTTTTATGATAAAAGCGCAAAATTATTTTAATTAGGTATTACGAAATACTTGTAATGTTAACAAGTATTGATGTTTTTGATTATTAAAATAGTTTTGTTTTATTTTGTTTAGCGTTTAATTTGTATTTATGCAGAATATATGCCAGAAAAGTGTTTTATACGTTATTTTTATTATATTAATAATTATAACTTTTCCTGTTTTGTGTTTTTCATTGTTTAATTAATTGAAATTTAGTACAAATTGTTAGTGTTTTAATTACTGATGCGTGTATTTATTGTATGTAACAGTAATTTAGATGATTAAACAAAATTAAACGCTCAAAACATTATAGACATATAAGGTATATATTTGTTATCATGTAATACCGGAGCAAATGAGCTAATGGTCGGCACAAAACATCTGCAAACAAGTCAAACATTGAACATAAACTGTCTTTTAATCACATATTAGACTAAAAAAGCCTATTATATAACACATTGAGATCAATAGCTTTTATTCATTTCACTCGTTATACTGTAAATTCCCAAATGTATGAGACATTTGACTGGAAAAAGTATACCAAAAAGTTTTATATTTATAGTTTTCGCCACTTTTTAATAGAAAAATTACATTTTTCATTACCAATGAGAATGAAAACAATGAAATTGTGTCCTATTATTAAAATGTTGATTATATCGTTGATTTTGTTTGTGATTTGGACTTTATTTCCGACATTACTCGTAAATAAGCGAAAACTATTCTCGTATTTGTCTTTTCGCGAATACACAGCAATTAATGTGAAAATAGATTATAACAAAAGAGATTACTTGACAAACAATATTAGGGACCAAATACACCCTAATTGGACACTATATCCCATTGTGTCGCCAAATAATGTCAATAAAGTCGTTATCATTACCGAAGCCAGAAGTGGATCCACTTTTCTCGGTATAAAACTCGGTGTAATTATGTAATGACGTTAATTAATTTATAACCTGAGACCTAATTAATGGCAAACTAATAACAATTATCAGGCGATTTACTGCAACAAAGTTGGGCCACATTTTACAACTTTGAGCCCTTGATTACAATGCGGGCGAGGAATCCGCGGACCGACACATCGATGGCCGAAGAGGCGGCCACTCTGTTGGCGGCTATACTTGACTGCAATTTCACAAACATCGGCGACAGTTATCTACAGCCGGTGTTCTGGAAAGTGCCGTATTTTAACTGGAATTCAGTTATGAAACAATACGTCCAAACAAATAACATCCAACTATTCAACGCCACAGTGAATGAGTTTGTGTGCCAGAGATGTCACAATCGGCTCATCAAAACCATCCGATTTGGTGTTCAAGACTTTCTGGTCTTACAGCAAAAGTCAAGTATTGTCTCGTTTTTGCACTGTATTTGTCGTAAACTATATACAACTTTTCTTTTGTATTTTATAGTATAGTTATGATATATTAAGGGTAGGCTTACCATGAATTAATTATTCATTTATTAAGATAAATGATTAAGATCTTATTTGGTTTGCAAATAAAACATAATTCATACAAAACATGGATTTGTTTAGACAATAGGATTCATGCATACATTTACTGCACAAAATCTATTAATGATATTATAATCTTAAGCATTCATAACTCACCACTTTGTATGAATAGATCATTATTTATATTCAATTATGTTTTTCTTCGTCCCAATTGTGTGCCGACTAAACAAATAAACATTTTTCAATAGTCTATTGATTTATTCCACCACTAATATCGCAATCTCTCTCTCTCTCTCTCTCT